GCAAGATTCATGTAAATAAATTTAAAAATAAGGGCATTATTATTCTAAAATTTTATTAATAAACAATAGAATTGTAACAAAAAAAAGATTACCTTGGTAACATTATAATACCTAAGAAAATTGAGATAATCAGATTACCTCCAATATTACCAACAGTAACTACTATTGGCATTTGAAGATTACCGAAATCTTATATTATTTGACAACCAAACGTGGTAATCAAGTAATATAAGATGACATAACCCCAATAATCCCACATAACCCCCAACCAAACGCCCCCCCTAAAGGATTTTTTCACAGTGAAATATTTTTCAAAATAAGGGGTTTACAATTGATTAATTAAAAGCTTCCATTTCAATTTATATACTCTTAAAGAATATTTTATGTTACATGTACATAAAACTACTGAATAAATGATATGTTACATAATTTATATTGAATCCGAGTAATTCATGAAGTCTTAACGTAATGTTTTAAAAATAGTATCATATTTTTTATTCTATATATAGGATACCATAATAAGAGAGCAAGACAATTAATTTATACATTAATAGTCTCAATATACAGGAGATGAAGAACAAAGGGTTGGTTAAGGAGAAATGCTAAAATTGGGAAGACTGGTCTATAATATGTAGACAAAGCAGAGTGGCTGCATCTGAATAAGTGATATTTTCCCGTATCCTTTGTCATTTGCTTTCATAATCTACACTTGAAGATTATAAGGCTAGTCTAGATTTTTTTGCCTTTTATTGGCATATACATACCTTCGACTTTAAAGGGTTTCTTTACAGTGATATATTTTTAAATAAGGGAGATACAATTGATTAATTAAAAGCTTCCATTTTAATTTCTATTTTCTTAAAGAATATAATATTTATATTAATTTATTTATTACATATAGAAGTGTTAATACAAACAGTAAAAACTGATATAACATTAATTAATCTTTAATTGACACAAACAATACATTAATTAATCTTTAATCGACAGAAACAATACAAAATAATGTGACACTATTCTTTAATTGATACAACATTTATTTATATTTATAAAGCATTTAATGTATTAACTTTTTATATGCATTTTTTTTTTTGGGTAACCAAGATGTCCGACCAGCTTGCACATACCTCAACTAATCTTCTGGGTCAATTGAACACTCTATAAGTCCAAAAGACCAAGTAAACCATAATATTATTGTGGTAGGTGACCCCAAAGTTTGAACACGGAAATTCAAAGAAGGGAACAAGCCTCTTTGACCGTCATATCAATCCCTTGAGATTCTTTTTATATGCATTTGTCCTATCATTTAATGACATCTCAATATTTATGAAAGAGTTCGTACAAACAGCTTGTATATTTAGTATTACTCAACATCAAAATATCAAGAATAAAAGTTTTTTTCTTTTTAGAGTAAGAGATTTTGTTCGAGTAAAAACAAGAATCGAAATGGATTCATGTGGATTTTCTGTAACGTATCAATATTAATACGCTAGACCCTTGCTTTATGTCGTTTTATGCCATAAATAAGCTTAAACACTCAAGAAATCCGTTGGATAGGCAGATCGGCATCTCGAACAACCAACACAGTCCTTTGTTCTCGGAGTAGCAGCAATTTGCTTAGCTTTACATCTGTCGCAATGTATCCTTTCTAATAAATTTGTGGCCAGGCGCAAACATGTTGATTATACCATAAACATGCATCATAAATCTTTACTAAATGTTACACGGATCCATAAATTTTTGAACTCCTAAAGTTTCAATCTAGTAAAGTTATGTACAATGTTTTTTTACGAAATTTTTTTTTTTTTTTATCACATCACTTTGTTTACAAATATTTAAAAATTTTATATATAGAGTGATGTGGTATTGCCCATTAATTAACGTAACATTTATCCTTATTCAACAAGTTTAACTTTTTACTTTCATCCTTTCAGTATGTCACTATTACTTATATTAGTGTTTATTACTGCTGTAGTTTTTGTTACTGCTGAAATCCAAGTGCCATATTGTAATTGGTTGTAACTAGTTATTTAAAATAGCTGTAGTGGTTGTAAAAACAGAGTTGGGTGGACTGAATAAACTTTTTCCCAATTCTTTTTCTCTGTCTCGTATCTTCTAACATGGTATCACACAATTGATCTTGGGTTCAATTCAATCCAAATTCCGCAAGTTTTGTTTTCCTTATTTCTTCCAAAGTCGAGAATCAATTAGCTCCAATTTCATTTAAGATCATTCAGTTGACTCAAATTCTTCACAATCTTTCTTGAAGATCATTTGTTTTCAACAATGTCATCGAACACCTCGAAGAATCTTCAAGTTGTGTTCATGGTTGCCGATTACAACAATCCGTTGTACATGCACCCTTCCGACACGCCGGGGAGCCAAATTGTTAGTAATTTTAACAGGAGGTGACAATTACAGTATTTGGAATCGAGCGATGAAAATTGCACTCCTTGCGAAGAACAAGTTAGGGTTTATCAATGGAACACTCCCACGCCCTCTTGATCCGATTCAGGCACAATAGTGGGATCGTTGTAACGCCATTGTCATGTCTTGGATAATGAATTGCATTTCTAAAGATCTTGTGGGCTGAGTCATCTATGGAACCAACACTGCAACTGTTTGGCAAGATTTGCTAGAACATTTGACAAGATCAATGGTTCTCTCATATATTCAATCATGAAAGACATTGCTACAATACAACAAGGTTCGTCATCAATTTCAATTTATTATACGCAATTGAAGCTCCTCTAGGATGAATATTCTTCTATGGCCCCATCTATCACATGTTCTTGTCCTTTATCCAAAGTTTATAAAGAGCATGAACAAACTTAGAAAGTAATGCAATTTCTGATGGGTCTAAATGAGGGTTATGCGGTTGTTAGGAGTCAAATTCTTCTAATGAATCCTTTACCAACCGTGAATGTTGCTTATGGCATGCTTAGTCAAGAAGAGAAATAGAGGGGTATCACCAGCTCCACCACCTCTCAATCAGATACTGCTGCATTTTTTACACACAATATTTACAAAAATCAAGGGAATCCAAGAAGTAACAGTCAACAATCTAAAAAGAAGGTGATGGAATGTGAATTTTGTCATCTAACAAATCATACCATTGATTTTTGTTGGAAACTTCATGCCTATGCCGAGAACCGCCAGAGAGGCAGAAACAAGAAGCATTTCAACCATAAAACACCGATGGCCAATAATACTGAGCATACAACTGAGGAGTTATCTTCAAGTTCAACCAAGAATGCACTAGTGACTACTTCGATTTTTTCTCCAGCCCAATATCAAGAAATTTTGAAGCTGTTGGGCAAGGATGGACCTTCACTTACTGCTAATGTTGTTCAAGGTGCTCCTAACATTGCTACCAATGTCACAGGTACTCCTTATTCTTTTATGGTTTCTTTTTTACATAATGCATGGATATTAGATACGGGAGCTAATGATCATATGACATCTGATTTTCACTGCCTGGATAATGTGCACCCTTATAATTCCTCCATCAGTCCTACTGTTAAGTTACCAAATGGTATATCTGTCCCAATAACCTATACTAGTGATGTTTGCCTCTCTCCATAACTTAAACTACATAAAGTCCTATTCATACCACAGTTTAGATACAATCTGTTATCTGTTTCCTTTTTTCCAAAATTCTGTTTGTTTCAGGACCTATGGAATGGATCAATGATAGCGATTGGTAAAGAGCACAATGGATTGTATTATCTGATTCAGAAACCGAATTCACATTTGTTTTCTCATTTGAATAAAACCATAACTACTTGTAGTGTTCATTCCAATACCATATGGCATAATAGGCTATGTCATGCATCTATTTCGAGAATAAAGTTGATTTCTTCCTTACATAATTCGTTTGTAAAGGAATCACTTCCTCATTGTAAGGTTTTCCCTTTAGCTAAACAATGCAGAAAACCTTTTCCTACCAGTCTCTCTATCACTTATACAATTTTTGATCTGGTGCATATTGATATATGGGGTCCTTACAAGGAATCCACTCATAATGGTTTCAAATATTTTTTAACTCTTGTGGATGACTTTTCTCGTGCCACTTGGACATATCTTATGACTGTTAAGTCGGATACGTTACATATATTCAAAAACTTTGTTTTCATGGTTAATAATCAGTTTTCTGTCAACATCAAAAAGATTAGGATTGATAATGGTACTAAATTCTTCAGTACTGACTTCACAAATTTTTTTGAATTCCAATGAATTATTCATGAGAGTTCATGTCCTTACACACCTCAACAAAACGAAACTATAGAAAGAAAGCATAGACACATCATGACTATAGCTAGAGCTTTACGATTCCAATCTCATGTTCCAATCACTTTTTGGGGGGAATGTATTTTGACTGCCACTTATATTCTAAATAGAATTCCTACTCCACTTTTACAGGGTAAGTCACCATTTGAAATGTTGTTTAAAACACCTCCCACACTTTCCCATCTTAGAGTCTTTGGTTGCCTTTGTTATGCAAATATACTGCCCCAAGTAGACAAGTTTGGTCCAAGAGCAGTTCCTTGCATTTTTTTTTTAGGCTATCCTACCTTCCAAAAGGGTTACAAAGTATTTGACATTCAATCTCAAAGGTTTTTTGTTAGTAGGGATGTCACATTTCATGAGACTATTTTTCCATATGCTGACCATAACATCATATCTCATGCATCACCATTATTCCCTTCTACCACACAATTTCATGATGAATCAGACTTTTTGGTTTCTGACAATCCAATGGCAGTTCCACATCCAGTTTCTATTTCTGACAATTCCATAGATTCTCTAGTAACAAATTCAAGTAGTAGTCCCATCATAGGAGTTTCACCTATACAGCCTATTCCAAACACTGTCCGAAGGTCCACAAGACCATCTAAACCACCTGTTTGGCAAAAAGATTATGTTGTCCCTTCTAAATCACAATACCCAATTTCTAATTTCATTTCATATGAGAATTTGTCGCGTAGATATCAAAGTCTACTTTCTGCCATATCTCACATATATGAACCGCAAACCTTTAAAGAAGCCATAACTGACCAGAATTGGAGGAATGATATGGATACAAAACTTCAGCCATTAGAATCAAATGAAACATGGCAATTAGTTTCTCTTCCTCCTGGAAAGAAGGCTATTGGGTGTAAATGGGTTTATAAAGTGAAACTTAAGTCAGATGGTAGCATTGAAGGATATAAGGCTCTATTAGTTGCAAAGGGGTATACATAGCAAGAAGGTATTGATTACACCTAGACTTTTTCTTGTGTAGCTAAAATGGTTACAGTTATTACCATTTTAGCACTTGCAGCCATAAATGATTGTGGTCTCTTTCAAATGGATGTATATAATGCCTTCCTTCAAGGAGATTTGAATGAGGAAATATATATGAAGGTTCCTCCAGGTCTGAATAATCAACTTGAGACCAAAAATAAGTTCTACAAACTATTGAAATCCTTATATGGTCTAAAACAAGCTTCCAGACAATGGCATCACAAGTTTACCACTACACTATTAGAGTATGGTTTCCTATAGTCTAAAAATGACTACTCGTTATTCACTAAGACTCATAGGAGCAGTTTGGTGATCTTTTTAGTGTATGTTGATGACATACTGCTAACAGGTAACAATCTTGCAGCCATTGATGAAGTCAAGTGATATCTCAATGCCAAATTCAGAATCAAGGATTTAGGCATCTTGAGATACTTCCTCGGGATGGAAATTAGTCACTCACGAGCTGGTTTGGTAATAAACGAGCTGGTTTGGTAATAAATCAACGAAAATATGCACTGGGACTTCTTTCTAAAACTGGTTTGCTAGGTTCTAAACTAATTGACACTCCATATGAGCAACACCTCAAATTGACGACTGTTGAATTGGATAAATTAGTTGGCACTTGTACAAATGATCCACTCCCAAAGGATGCTTCTTCCTATCAAAGATTAGTAGGTAAACTCATCTACTTATGTATGACTCGATCAGATATTTGTATTCAGTTCAACATCTAAGTCAGTGCATGCATTCAGCTAAGAAATTTCATTTGGAAGCTGCTCTCAGAGTACTACGATACATCAAACAGAGTCCTGGTACTGGCCTTTTTTTTTTTTTTTTTTTTTTTGCAAAGAAGAATTACACCATTGAGGCTTATTGTGATGCTAATTGGGCTGCCTGTCCAATGTCTAGAAGGTCCTTAACAGGTTATTGTATCAAGTTTGGAGAATCTTTAATTTCCTGGAAAACAATCAACTGTTTCCAGATCATCCTGTGAGGCTGAATATAGATCAATGGCGTCCACTTGTTGCAAGAACGTAGATACAAAGTTTGCTCCTTGATTTGGGCATCAAACTTCTGCTACCAACATTATTGTACTATGACAATAAAGCTGCCCTACATATTGCTGCTAATCCAGTATACCATGAATGAACCAAACATGTTGAGATTGACTATCATCTGATCTGGGAAAAGATTGATCGCAAATTAATTAAAACTACATACATCTCTACCAGTGAACAGCCTGCCGATTTGATGGCCAAGGGATTATGCAAGCAACAACATCGCATTCTCATGTCCAAGCTTCGTATGTTTGATGTTCATCAATCATTACCAGCTTGAGGGAGGTATTGGTTATATTAGTGTTTATTACTACCGTAGTTTTTGTTACTGCTGAAGTCCAAGTGTCATATTGTAAATTGTTGTAATTAGTTATTTAAAAGAGTTGTAGTAGTTGTAAAAACAGAGATGAGTTGACCAAATAAATTTTTCCCCAATTCTTTTTCTCTGTCTCGTATCTTCTAACAGTCGCATTGTATGAAAGAATTCGTATGAGAATTTTGTAATATAATATTATTCATTAAATTATTGTATTTAAATATTATGTTATATATATCCTTTCTAATTAAGAGTATACATTAATTATACATGTTACATTAACATTGAATATTATAAATAATATGATAATAAGAGAGCAAAGACAATCAATTTATATATTAATAGATTTAATATATAAAAGAGGAAAAAAAAGATGGTTGGTTAAGAATACTGCTAAAATTGGGAGGATAGACAAAAGTCAGAGTAGCTGCATGCCTTGTAGGTTGTACAAGCGTCCTCAGAATCTGGGGAACTGAAAACTTTTCATTATTGCTATAACTTTCCTTGTTTATAACAACACATCAAACCCTCAATTTACTAAGCTTTCATCAACTTGGTTCTTTCTTCCATTACTGTAACTGCTCCATTGGTTTTAGATAGCTATGAATGCTCTTGCAGCCACCAACCGCAACTTTCGCCATGCAGCTCGCATTCTTGGCTTAGATTCTAAGCTTGAAAAGAGCCTCTTGATCCCCTTTAGAGAGATCAAAGTAATTACTATTAACATTGATTTGTTCCTAGGCGAAATGAGCATATGTTCTTTCATTTGTTAAACTTTTATTTATGGATTTTTTTTTTCTTCAGGTTGAGTGCACAATTCCTAGAGATGATGGTTCTCTTGTATCCTTCGTTGGATTTAGAATCCAGCATGACAACGCTCGTGGACCGATGAAAGGTGGAATACGCTACCACCCTGAGGTGATACCCCCAAAGTTTTGTTCTTTTATTTTTACGTTATATCATTCGCATGTGCAAGTCAATGAGGCGATGCCATTGATCCTGAATTTGGGTCCTTGAGTTTTGGTTTATTTGACATCTCTAATCAGCTGAAAATACATTTGCATCATATGGCTGATGAAGTTCCACTTCGGGTTCATATTCTCTGTTTGCGTTTGTTCATTTTGTTCAGATATGGCATGAAAAGTATTTATTTTTTGGTTTATAACTCCATAGATATGAATACACCCTCCTGGGTTCCAAGATAATGATAGAATGATTTTGTTAATCAATAAGATACATTGATCTGGTGAAGAGAATTTTCTAAATTTAATAAATATGTCATATCAGACTGGAACGGTATTCAGTACTTCTCTACTTCTAAATTGAAGAGAATTAGCATAATGTCCCTTGCTGGTTTTTTTTTTTTTTTTTTTGTTATTTAATCAAATACTGACTATTGTATTTTACTTTTTCAAGGTTGACCCGGATGAGGTAAACGCTTTGGCTCAATTAATGACATGGAAGACAGCTGTAGCTGCCATTCCATATGGCGGAGCAAAGGGAGGGATCGGCTGCAATCCAAGAGAGTTGAGCATAAGCGAGTTAGAACGTCTCACCCGTGTTTTCACTCAAAAGATCCATGATCTTATTGGAATTCATAGGGATGTTCCAGCCCCTGACATGGGGACTAATTCACAGGTATCCACTGAATTAGCTTGTTGCTTCAAAGCGTTGACAACACCAATTTCTATTCATACATTTCTTGCTCTTGATTTGAACAGACAATGGCATGGATCCTGGATGAATACTCAAAATTTAATGGGCACTCACCAGCAGTTGTGACTGGAAAGCCAATTGTAAGCATCCAAAAGCGGTAGAAAGACAAATATGTGATCACTGTATGACTAATAGAAGAAATCGAATAAAATTAACATTTCCTATGCTGAGATGGAATTGCAGGATCTTGGAGGATCACTGGGTCGGGAAGCGGCAACTGGACTGGGAGTGGTCTTTGCAACAGAAGCTTTACTGGCTGAGTATGGAAAATCAATTTCAGAAATGAAGTTTGCTATCCAGGTAGTTTCCTTCTACATATGTGCATATTCGTCCTTTATGGTTGAATTAAATTGTTTTCTCTGTTTACATGACATTCTGCCTCAATATTTGAACTACTATTATTTCAGGGGTTTGGCAATGTGGGTTCCTGGGCAGCAAAGTTCATCCATGAAAAAGGCGGTAAGGTTGTTGCAGTGAGTGACATCACAGGTGCAGTTAAGAATCCAAATGGAATTGATATTCCAGCTCTGATGAAACACAAAGAGGGAACTGAAAGCCTGAAGAATTTTGAAGGTGGGGATGCTATGGATCCAAATGACTTGCTTGTACATGAATGCGACGTTCTGATCCCATGCGCCTTAGGTGGAGTTCTCAACAAGTATGTAGCCTGTTTGGCTAATAACCTCAGAAGTCATGACCTTTATAACTTCTTTCTCCAGCCTTACAGTTAATTCTACTATAATTTTATCACACTCCATAAAAGAATATGTTTAATTATTGTTTAGGACTACAGTTTCTTATTGTATAAAAACCACTAACCTTAATTTAGACTATTACATATATTCTTTCTGTTTTTTGTGTTGTTGAAAGGGGAAATGCTGGTGATGTGAAGGCAAAGTTCATAATAGAAGCAGCCAACCACCCCACTGACCCTGAAGCCGATGAGGTAATAACAAACCTGTGCTTTCTCTAATTGTTTGCTAAATTCACAAACTTAGCCAATAAAATCCATGTTTGTCTTCAGATTTTGTCCAAGAAGGGAGTCCTTGTACTCCCTGACATTTATGCAAATTCCGGTGGTGTGACTGTGAGTTACTTTGAATGGGTTCAGGTACTAGCAACATGTCCTATGCCTACTAATAATTATCTTATTTAATCTTCTAATCTGATCTTTACAATTAAATAACTCTGTATGTCCTAACAGAACATTCAAGGATTCATGTGGGAAGAAGAGAAAGTGAACTGTGAGCTGAAGAGGTACATGATGAAAGCTTTCCTTGACATCAAGGCAATGTGCCAAATTTACAACTGCAACTTGCGGATGGGCGCCTTCACTCTGGGAGTGAACAGAGTTGCGCGTGCTACTCTGCTGAGGGGGTGGGAAGCATGAATGAATCTTCCATTTGATCCTTTCTGTTGTCAAATATAGTTTCTGTTTTAAACTTTATTTTCTTCAGCCACAGAATTCAGTAATGCTTATACTCCAGTTCAAAGCTCAAAAATGCATTTTAAGCTTTAAGGAATAAAAAGGAAAGGAACTAACCAGAATTTTGAAGAACTAAATTTATAGTTTTATTTGTTATTTTCCCGACCTTTTAAGAAGGCAGCTTATTGATTTGGTGGTCAATAGTCTTTGGATAAACAAAAATTAATAAATTTTACAAAATTATAAGGTTGCTAGGTGTAAATATCTTCATGAAGAGTAGATGAAGTCAATGGCAACAATATCTTCCATTGCACAGAATTCATTAAGGAAAAGATGTTCATAAAATTACATACTAAACTCAGAAGTATGAAATGCGTGAGAGATAGCAACTCAAAAGTCTTTATCATTCACTAGCTTAGATAAATTACAGCAATACTAATTGAGAACAAATACTCGAATTATAAACTGCAATCTGACTACTCCTTTTTGGTACCTCCGGAAGTCTCATCCTGCCAGGTTGCTTGCCATTGTTTGTCATAAAAGGTTGTCTCATCTAGAAGCTTTTTCAGAGTTTCAATATCCTCGTTCTTTCTGATTAGAAGCACCCCAACAACGGCAACAAATAATAGAGTCTTGCAAAAGAAGTTGCCCATTTGGTCGACCAAACCTACCCCGGTCAAGCTGTCAACTAGATAAGCCATGAAGAATCCTATCATTGCTGCACGGCCTGTGCCACGCTCAAAAGACAGAATTAGTAGGATTAGCATGTTACAACAAAGTACCATTGTAATTTACATGAAAAAAGGAGGTATAGATTGAACAAACCATTAAGAAGTTCAGCTTCGGGTAGATGGAACCTCTTCATCCATGCCCACCAAGGTATAATTGAGGTGTCAAAAACAACAGGGTCATCATTACTGGATGATTCTGGATTATCCTCAAGCCACTTTCTTCTCCTAACTTCTGAAAAAGATTATCCATGGAGGGGAATTAGAAACCAAGTAATCCCTGAACAATCAGGAAACACATTAAGTTAATTATTAAGAATGATATTTAAATTTTAACAAAATGTCGCCCTTAAAGGAAAAAAAAAAATGAATGATGTACGAAATCATATAAATTTGTAGCTAAATAGCACACCATAAGGTGCTTGATAGATGTATTTTCCTATCACTCACGGAAAAGGTTGAATAAATTAAATGGGCAATAGAACATCTGATGCAAAATGCAACATTTAATTGAATTAAGTGGAGAAAAGGAATATTATATGAATTGGTTGTGAGTTTAGGACTCATGAACTCCCAAGAAAATGAAATCAATCAAATATTAGGTAACATAACATTTGAAAACATATCTATTTTGTGAAACAGAGTGCAGAATAATTAATTGCAGAAAGGGCAAAAGCTTATGAACATATAAATCTGTAATGATATGTGAAGCGATATAAAATCATATCAGATGCAACAGAACACACAAAGATAAATTACAGTTCTTCAGGGCACTTCAATGCCCACACTGCAATCAAAAGACAAAACATGAGCAGTAGATATCCCAATGTTGTGGTTTGAGGACATTTAATCAATCATGAATTTAAAATACCATATACATGTAAATTAGGGATCTCGAGTCAGATGACCAATGATCGCAAACTTGGAATATGAAACTGTCTGGTTAGCATCCATAATCCGCTTATCACCAGCATCGAAGTGGCTGGACATTGGATGTAATTTGGCACTATGTTTAAAACTTTTCAATCCATAATCTTCTTACAGTTCTCTTATAATGTTACTATTGAATACATATAACATTTGATGCCACGGTAAGTAATCAAACAACCAGTAAGCTGCCGGTCTAAATATCCAACCTAGATTGAGTTAGAAGAAAAAGAGAAGAAATCAATATCCCTAACTGAGCTAAGTATAAATTAAGCTTATAAAGAGTTCAGATTTTGTATTTTGAGGACTTGAGTAAC